AAGAAATCTTCACAAGAAAATTGGAGTAGTAAACCTTTACTCCTATAGGGGTTCTTTTTATTAACATTTTCCACAAAGTTCTCAGTTCTCCAATTCAAATGAGTTAGACATATGTGCAGATTCTTTCACTTCATTTGTTAATATTTATTGGATTGACTGTATTTGCTTCTTTTCCTTTTCCTTTTCAATCATGCCACTACTGAGATATCATTCATACGCCATAAAATTGACCCTTTGTAAATACACAATGCAGTGGCATTGAACATATTCACAACGTTGTTCTATCAGTTTTAATTTTAGAACATTTTATCCCGTAGAGCCCATGCTTATTAAAGTCACAATTCATATCTCTCTTTCTAAATCCTAGCAACCTCGACTCTGTTTCAGACTCCATGGGTTTTCGCATTTGTGTATTTTGTATTGCTCCTTTTATATTACACCGTTAAAATTTTTTCTCAACTCTAGTAGACTGGAATGTTTTGCTGTGAGATTTAAGTCAGAGTTAAATCTCCATTAATACAGAAAAGTAATGTTTGTTTATAGACTTTGTATACACAAACAAGATGATAGCTGAGAAACAATTTTTAAGATCAATCCCATTCACAATAGCTACAAAAAATTGAATACCATAGAATGCATTTAATCAGTGATGCCAAAGATCTCTACAGTGTAAATTACAAAACATTAAAGAAATAATAGAAGGCACAAAAAATGGAAAAATGTCTGTACTACTGAAAGCAATTTACAGATTTGTTGTGATATCAATCAAAATACCAGGACATTCTGCTCAGAGAAAAAATGATGTTGAAATTCATATGGAAACACAGGAAACTCAAATAGCTAAAGCAATCTTATACAAGAAAAACTAAGCCAGAGACATCATAATACCAGATTTCAAGACATATTACAGGGCAGTTATAATCAAAACAGTCTGACACTGGTACAAAAACAGGTGGATATTACAATGGAACAGAATAGAAACTCCAGAAATCAACTCACACATCTACAACCACTTAGTTTTTTAACAAAAGAGCTAAAATCCATCCCTAGAGAAAGGACAGTCTCCTCAACTAATGGTGCTAGGAAAAGTTTATCTCTGTGTGCAGAAGTATGAAACAAGACCTGTACCTTATACACCTTATACCAAAATCAACTCAAAATGGATGAAGGATCTAAATCTACAACCGGATACCATCAAATTACTGGAGGAAAACATTGGAGAAACTGCAAGACACTGGCATAGGCAAAGACTTCTTGGAAAACACTCCAGAAGCACAGGCAACCAAAGCCAAAATTGACAAAAGGGATTACATTAAGCAGAGAAGCTTGTGCACCACAATAGAAACACTCAGAAATGGAAGAGAAAACCAATTGAATAGGAGAATACATTTGCAAACTATGCAACTGATAAAGGATTAAATCCAGAATCTATAAAGAGCTCAAGAAACTCAACAAGACAAACAATCCAGTTAAGAAATGAGCAAAAGACTTGAACAAGCATTTTCAAAAGATGAAATTCAAATGGCCAACAGACACTTAAAAAATGATCAGAATCACTAGCCATAAAGGAAAGGGAATCAAAATCATGTGAAAATGGCTCCCACACAGAAATCAACAAATAATAAATGCTGGCAAGGATGTGGGGAAAGAGGTTCCCTAATCCACTGTTTGTATGAATGTAAAATAATACAGCTGCCATGGAAGACAGTGTGGAGATACCTCAGAAAGCTGAAAATGGTTATAACATATGGCCCAGCAATCCCACTCTTGGGAATTTGCCCAAGGGAAATGAATCAGCATGTGGAAGAGGTAGCTGTACCCCTACGTTTTTGCAGCTTAATTTATAATAGCTAAGTTATAGAATCAAACCAAGTGTCCATCATCATTATGAATTTTTTTTTTTTTTTGACAGACAGAATGGACAGTGAGAGAGAGAGACAGAGAGAAAGGTCTTCCTTTTGCATTGGTTCACCCCCTAATGGCCACTGCGGCGGCATGCTGCAACCGAAACCAGGAGCCAGGTCCTTCTCCTGGTCTCCCATGCGGGTGCAGAACCCAGGGATTTGGGCCATCCTCCACTGCACTCTCGGGCCTTCTCAGCCATAAAAAGAATGAAAGCCTGTCTTTTACAACAAAATGGATGTAACTGAAAACATTATACTTAGTGAAATAAGCCAGTCTCCCAAAGACAAATATCATATGTTGTCCCTGATCTGTGGTAACTAATAGAGTACCAAAAATTTGATGTATAGTTGTGAAATTGACATTTTGAGATTTGATGATTTCTTTACAGTCTTTGTCTCTACTGTTGAGGAACAGTACTTTTTTTTTCCTTTTTCTTCTTCTTCTTAATGTTCCTTGAATTCTTTAATTAGTGTAGGGTTATCTTATGAGTATAAAGTAGACTGCAAGTACAGCAGAGTAAATATTAAGAGAGGGAATGAGAAAGGATGGAGGAGGAAGGATGGGAGTGCGGGTAGGAGGGAGATGCTCCTAAATCTCTATATATGAAATACATTACATTTTATACCTTAAATAAAATTTTTAAATGGAAGTTAAAAATTAAATCTCTTAAGAGAAAAACATGTTTTGTATATTCATTAAAGAAATACTAAGCCTTTTTACTGTAATGTAAATTTACAATATATTATCTCAAAAAATGAAAAATAAAAACAACAGAAAAAGGGATAGAAGAAAGAAAGTTGGGAGGAAGGGAAGAGGGGAATATCATTATGTTTTTATGCTTGTAGCTACAAGTCATATTGAATCTGTTAAAATTAATTAAAATTAAAATTTAAAAAGAAGTAGGTTTTAAAATAATGAACCTCCCTTAGATGAATTAATTTTTCCAACAAATGTTAGAGTTATTATTCCAGTGGTTCTGACCCATGCCAGAAAAGAGGTAGGTCCTTGTGTGTCACTGCACATCTACTGAATCTGACTTTTAGGGAGGAGGCAAGGGAATCTTCATCTTAATACACCTCCTATGCCATACACTTAAAAAAAAAAAAAAGATTTATTTTATTCAATAGGCAGGATTACAGGGAGAGAGGGAAAGACAGAGATCTTGCATCCACTGGTTCACTCCCCAGATGGCCACAACTGCTGGAGCTGGGCCGATCCAAAGTCAGGAGCCAGGAGCCAGGAGCCTCTTTTGAGTCTCCTAATGGTTACAAGGGCCCAGACCCTTGGGCCATCCTCTGCTGCTTTCCCAGGCCATCAGCAGGGAGCTGGATGAGAAGTGGAGCAGCCAAGACTCGAGCCAGCTTCCATTTGGGATGCCGGCACTGCAGGGAGAGGCTTACCCGACTATACCACAGCACTGGCCCCAGTGCTATATTCTCATACATACTAAATTTGTCAATTAGAGGCCTAGTTTAAACTAAGATCTGAGGATGAAAAAGAGGTTTAAGATACAGTTCTTGATCTTAGATGATTTTAACACATTGAGTCTACAGATTTTAACAATGTTATTTTGGAAAATATTTACAAATATATTATCTAGAGAAGGATTACTAAAAGAAAAGACCTGAAATGATCAACCACTTTGTTTCCTAAAAATATTCCACAGATGCTGTTTCCCTTATTAGATATAACACACAGAACCAGATGCTTTGACATAGTTAAATTTTCCACATTTGATCCTATAAAATAGATTCATGTTATTATGAATTGTTACATTTAATTATTCATTAAATGACTGTGAACAGAATTACTCTAATATGCTATGTACTGATAAGGGCAACAAATAAAATACAGTCTCTTAAACAGTAGAGAGGGTGAATATAAGAGATGTTCAGATAAATGAGCACTGAGGATAGAGGACAATTTTAAGGAAAGAATAGAAGGAATTGATTCACAGGTAATTGATAAGATTCTTCTAGGAACCAGTGGACAGAGGTGATTCATATAGTAGAAGATACATTTAAAAGTATGTATAGCACCAAAACATATGGAGCGTTTCATTCAAATTTGTTGAAAACATTTACTTCTTCAGAGCCAAGTATTCGCTGATATCTGGAGTACATGACAAAAACTTGATGAAAATAGCTATCTTCTATTTGGGCCCTGTAAAACTCTGGAGACAATTGCTGAAAATTCTTAAGAAGAGGGTCTTAACACAACATTCCTGGTGAAAACTTAGCTGTGCTAACTCCAGTGGGAAAATATATCCATCTGCCATCATGAATATTCTTCCCAATCCTAAAGATCTGCATGGCTATCTCATTCCTCTGTTAGCTAAAAGAATAAGAGATTGCAGAACAAAATGTCGTCCTTGGTGTTTTAATGTGGAACTGACAACTGGCAGCAGCTCAGCAGTTGGCCCATAGTGTGTAATCCCATTAATTCCAGCACCAGTGTGGCTATTTCCACTAAAGGGACCCAGAAGATAGATCTGAACATCCAGAAGCAAGGAAAGAACAGTAGTAATACATATGGCATGTCACAGCAAGGGGTGGACAGGAAAGGAAAGAAATATTAGATTAAGCACATTAAAAATTTAAATTTTGGAAGAAACAGAACAGAACATGGAAAATGAGTACTTAGAGATATTCAAGTATAATACAAAGATTTTATAGAAGCACAAATCTAAAACATTTTCAATATTGAAAATGGGGTAGTTACTACTGAGATAAGAAGTGTTGGCCTAGAATATTCAATGTAAGACCTATATCAAGTCCAGATTTAATACACTGAACAGAAAGAAAAATATAGGAAACCTCAGAATTGGAGAAGAGACCTAGAAGAAGTAAATATGAATTGTAGGCATGGAAAAGAAGAACAAAGGACTAGAACATAAAATAAAGCTTTTTTTTTTTCCTCACTGATTTGAAGAAGGAACCAAGCCTGTGGATGAAATTGCTCAATGAACAATCCAAGCAACGTTAATGATTAAAAAAATGCTTGGAGAAGTTGTAGAGCTTCCAGTAAAAAGAAGTGTTTACAAGCTTCTTACAGAAGAAAAAAAAAATCCCCTAAAAGGAAAAAATATTACATACAATTTATTTGCCACATTGAGAACAAGAAAGCAGCAGAAAACCAGCCGGATTCTGTCCCGGTTGCTCCTCTTCCAGTCCAGCTCTCTGCTGTAGCCCGGGAGTGCAGTGGAGGATGGCCCAGGTCCTTGGGCACTGCACCAGCATGGGAGACCAGGAGGAAGCTCCTGGCTCCTGGCTTCGGATTGGTGTGGTGTGCCGGCTGCAGCGGCCACTGGGGGGGTGAACCATTGGAAAAAGGAAGACCTCTGCCTGTCAAAAAAAAAAAAAAAAGAATGAGAAAAAAAAATTAGCCTGAGCATTCCATTGCTACCCAACATATTAATCCCTGATAAGAAAGAGAAATATGTAGATAGTCTATAGTTCAGGAATTATATTACCCTGTTCTTCCATGAACCAACAGAATTGAATCAGGAGAGATGAAGACAAGAGGAACAGCAATGAGGAGAGGAAGGAATAGACCACACATTTCATATACAAGGAGTCTTCAAAGTACTTTTTGGAACATGCTTACTATTAAAAAGCTTTTGCAACAAAATATGCATCTCTTAATTCCATTTTCCAAGTTTTTTGAAGTGTCATCATGCATATAATTGAAATACATAAAAAGACAGCCTAAAAATGCTAAAAATTTTCATAAGGATGTTCAAAAATGAAGGCAAATATTTTTAAAATATAATTACTTATCTATTTGAAAGGCAGCATGACAGAGAGAGAGAGAGAGAAAATCTTCCATCCACTGGTTTACTCCACAGTGGTTATAGTGGCCCAAGCTAGGCTAATCCAAAGCCAGGAGCCTGGCACTCCTTCCAGGTCTCCCATGTGGGTGGCGGAAGTCCAAGTACTTGAGCCATGAGCCATATTCTGTTGGCCAGGTGTATTAGCAGCTAACTGGATTGGAAGTGGAGAATTTGGGACACAAACCAATGCTCAAATGGGACGCCAGCCTCACAGGTGGCAGTTTAACTTGCTGCACCACAGCACCAACCCCAGAAGAGAAATCTTTTAAATCACTTCGATATAAGTTTTTAGAATTAAAAAAAAAGGATTGATATTTAAAGGAAAATTCTGAACAGAAACTAGAATTCAAAGTACTGCCCTAGTGAAAACTCTGAGGTTAAGTTGGGGTATGGAGAGAGAGAAAAAAAAAAAAGAATTCTAAAATTCTCTTTCAGATTGTGCTGCAAAGCAATGTAAGGGGTTAAATATATTATATTTTCATCTTTTAACATTTATTTAATAAATATAAATTCAAAAGTACAACTTTTGGATTATAGCAGCTTTTTCCCCTGATAACCTCCCTCCCATCCATAACCATCCCATCTCCCGCTCCCTCTTCCATCCCATTCACATCAAGATTCATTTTCAATTATCTTTATATACAGAAGATTAATTTAGTATATACTAAGTAAAGATTTAAACAGTTTGCACCCATATAGAAACACAAAGTATAAAGGACTGTTTGAATACTAGTTATACTGTTAATTCACATAGTACAACATATTAAGGACAGAGATCCTACGTGGGGAGTAAGTGCACAGTGACTCCTGTTGTTGGTTTAACAATTGACACTCCTGTTTATGGCATCAGAAATCAACCTAGGCTCTTGTCATGAGTTGCCAAGGCTATGGAAGCCTTTTGAGTTCACCAACTCCAATCTTATTTAGACAAGGCCATAGTCAAAGTGGAAGTTCTCTCCTCCTTTCAGAGAAAGGTACCTCCTGCTTTGATGGCCTGTTCTTTCTGCTGGGATCTCACTCACAGAGATCTTTCATTTTTTTTTAGTTTTTTTTTTTGTTTTTTTTTGTTTTTTTTTTTTTCAGCCAGAGTGTCTTGGCTTTCCATGCCTAAAATACTCTCATGGGCTCTTCAGCCAGATCCGACTGCCTTAAGGGATGATTCTGAGGCCAGAGTGCTATTTAGGATATCTGCCATTCTATGAGTCTGCTGTGTATCCCTCTTCCCATGTTGGAGCATTCTCTCCTTTTTAATTCTATCAGTTAGTATTTGTAGACCCTATTCTTGTTTATGTGATCCCTTTCACTCTTAATCCTATCATTATGATTAATTGTGAACAGAAATTTATCACTTGGAATAGTGAGATGGCATTGGTACCTGCCACCTTGATGGGATTGAATTGGAATACCCTGGCATGTTTCTAACACTACCCTAGGGGCAAGTCCGATTGAGCATGTGCCAATTGTACAGATCCTTTCTCTCTTATTCCCACTCTTATATTTAACAGGGATCACTTTTCAGTTAAATTTAAATATCTAAGAATAATTGTGTGTTAATTAAAGAGTTCAACCAATAGTATTAAGTAGAACAAAAAAAAAAATACTATAACGAATAAAGTAGTAAGTTGTTCCTCGACAGTCAGGACAAGGGCTGATCAAGTCACTGTTTCTCATAGTGTCCATTTCACTTCCAAAGGTTTCGTTTTTGGTGCTCGGTTGGTTGTCACTGATCAGGGAGAACATATGATATTTTTCCCTTTGGGACTGACAATTCACTCAGCATGACGTTTTCCAGATTCCTTCATTTTGTTGCAAATGACCAGATTTCATTTTTAGTGCTGTATAGTATTCTATAGAGTACATATTCCATAATTTTTTAATCCAGTCTACTGTTGATGGCCATTTAGGTTGATTCCAGGTCTTAGCTATTGTGAATTGAGCTGCATTAAACATTGAGGTGCAGACAGCTCTTTTATTTGCCAATTTAAATTCCTTTGGGTAAATTCCAAGGAGAGGTATGGCTGGGTTGTATGGTAGCATAATATTCAGGTTTCTGAGAAATCTCCAGACTGACTTCCATAGTGACTTGACCAGTTTGCATTCCCACCAACAGTGGGTTAGTGTCCTTTTTTCCATACATCTTCACCAGCATCTGTTGTTGGTAGATTTCTGTATGTATGCCATTGTAACCAGCGTGACGTGAAACCTCATTGTGGTTTTGATTTGTATTTCCCTGATTGCTAGTTATCCTGAACATTTTTTCATGTGTCTGTTGGCCATTTGAATTTCCTTTTTTGAAAAATGTCTATTGAGGTCCTTGGCCCATCTCTTAAGTGTGTTGTTTGTTTTGTTGTTGTGGAATTTCTTGATCTATTTGTAGATTCTGGTTATTAATCCCTTAACGGTTGCGTAGTTTGCAAATATTTTTTCCCATTCTGTTGGTTGCCTCTTCACTTTCTTGACTGTTTCTTTTGCAGTACAGAAACTTCTCAACTTGATGCAATCCCAATTGTTAATTTTGGTTTTGACTTCCTGTGCCTCCGGGGTCTTTTCCAAGAAGTCTTTGCCTGTGCCTGTATCTTGCAGGGTTTCTCCGATGTTCTCTAATAATTTGATGGTGTCGGATCATAGATTTAGAACTTTAATCCATGTTGAGTGAATTTTTGTGCAAAGTGTGAGGTAGGGGTCTTGCCTCTAGAGATTTACCAAAGCAGACAGTCCACTTAATCTAGAGTCATAGCCAACACAGAGAAAAACAAAGAAGAAGAAACCAAAGATATCTCCACAATGCCAAACATCAAATGCAGAAACAGAGGAAACAAGAACAAGGAAGACATTATGATGCTCCCAAATGAACATGGCACTCCAATATAAGATTATGAAGATGTTGAGATAGAAGAAATGCAGATATGGATTTCAAAAAATTTGTGATAAGAACATTTAGAAGTTATCAAAAACAAATGCATGAACTACAGAAATCCATACAAGACAGGACAGAAAATCTCTCTCATGAAAATGAAATCTTAAGGAGGAATCGAAATGAAATGAGGAATTTAGTACAACATAAAATTGAGATATTGAAGAGAAATCAAAATGAAATCAAGAATTCAATAGAAAAAATGACAAACACATTAGAGAGCCTTAAAAACAGAATCAGTGAGATAAAAGAGAGAATATCAGACTTAGAAAACAGAGCATAGGAAAATATACAGTCAAACCAAAGAAAAGAAGAGGAAATTAGAAATCTAAAACATTTGTTGGGAATCTACAGGATACTATTAAAAAAACCAACATTCGGGTTCTAGGAGTTCCTGAAGGCATGGAGAGAGAGAAAGGATTAGAAGGCCTTTTTAGCGAGATACTAGCAGAAAACTTCCCAGGTTTGGAGAAGGAAAGAGATATCCAAGTACAGGAAGCACATAGAACCCCAAATAAATACGACCAAAAGAGATCCTCACCATGACACATTGTAATCAAACTCACCACAGTGAAACATAAAGAAAAGATGCTAAAATGTGCAAGAGAGAAACATCAGATTACTCTCAAAGGATCTCCAATGAGAGAAGCAGACTTCTCATCAGAAACCCTACAGGCTAGGAGGGAATGGTGAGATATAGCCCAAGTACTAAGAGAGAAAAATTGCCAGCCCAGAATATTATATCCTGCTAAGCTCTCATTTGTGAATGAAGGTGAAATAAAGACCTTTTATAGCAAACAGAAATGGAAAGAATTTGTCACCACTCATCCAGCCCTGCAAAAGATGCTTAAAGATGTGCTACACACAGAAACACAGAAACATGGCCATCAATACGAAAGAAGGTAAAGGAAGAAAACCTGCCAGTAAAAGATCACGGGAAGTTCAAAGCATATATTAGAAATATCTTTTGGTTGCCAGCACCGTGACTCACTTGATTAATCCTCCTCTTGAGGCACTGGCTTCCCATATGGGCACCTGGTTCTAGTCCCAATTGCTTATCTTCCAGTCCAGCTCTCTGCTCTGGCCCAGGTAGGCCGTGGAGGATGGCCCAAATGCTTAGACTCCTGCACCCACATGGGAGACCGGGGGAAGCACCTGGCTCCTGGCTTTCTCTCTGTCTCTCTCTCAGTTTAATTCTGTCAAATTAAAAAAAAAATTAAGAAAAAAAGAAAGAAATATTTTTGGGAAAATGGCAGGGCAAAGTCACAACTTATCAATAGTCACATTGAAAGTAATTGGCCCCAACTCTCCAGTTAAAAGGCACAGACTGGCTGAATGGATTAAAAAACAAAACCCATCTATTTGCTGCTTATGGGATTAAATATATTCTAAATAGCTCAATTTAGGGAGGGCATTGAGCTTTGTGTAGCAGTTAGGATGCCACATATTCCATACCTGAGTGCCTAAATCTGAGTCCCAGCTCTACTCCTGATTCCAGTTTCCTGTTAATGTATACCCTGGAGGCAGCAGGTGACAGCTCAAATAGTTGGGGCCCTGACACTCATATGGGAGACACTGATTGAGTTCCCAATTCCTAA